TCCAAAGGGTTGAGGCAGTTCCTCTGAGCTGGCAGCTCCAAATCCAATTTAAAGCGGCTCCATCTATATTATTCTCTCCAGTGCCACGGGGGAAAGAGCAGCAGCAATGCCCTGGGAGCTGGGAAAAGAGCAAACAGAGAGGAGAGATGGTGCAACTCGTCCTAAGTGCTGTCCTGCAGGCCTTTTGGGTTAAAAGGGAGTGAGCAGCTTTGTGAGATGCTCCTGGAAGCTGAAGAAAGGTAAGGGAATCTTCCTGGATGAGACAAAGCAGTAGCTGGTGACTTTGTCATGAAGAGTTTTGCTGACACATGGAATGAAGTAGGTTGAAGGGACAATGGAGGCAAATAGAGGCATCAAGCTTATAGACTTTTGAATTTTGTTGCAGTGGCTGAAGGGACAGGGTCCAGGGTTTTATTATGTCCCGTCTATCAGCGCCAGAACCAAAACAGAGCAGATTTCTGGCTTTATATACTGCTCTGAAATACGGCTACTAGAGGCCCAGTGCACGAAGTTCATGCACGGGCCCCTCAGCCCCGCCTGCACCCTACAATCCAGGAGCTCTCCGGGGAGGTCCTACTGCTGGCTCAGGCCCACTCCCCATGGTTCTCTGCTCTCTGTGGGCCTGGAGGTTTCACTGTAGCCATGGAGATGAAGCCCCTAAGCCCCGCTGTCCGGACTCTGCCTGCGGGGCCTGGGGCTTCCCTGCTGTAGCGCTAAGGAAGCCCCATGCCCTGTGTCCGGGCTCTGCCAGGTTTAGGGACTTTCCTGCTGCTGCCCCCAGGCCAACTGCTGTCCAGGCTCTGACTGCCCTGTCTGGGGCGGATCAAAAACCCCTCTGGAGTCGGATCCAGCCTCACTGCTCCTGTAGACAGGCAGGACACTCCCCAAGCAGGGCTGCCATTTTGTTGTGGAGTGATGGTTCATTTGCATATTACTCTATTATTAGATAGGATTTCCAGGGAAGCCCTCTTCATATAAAGTGCAGCTCACAAAATTAAAAACAAAAATTCACAACCCTGCCTATCACCCCAATTTTCTGGTGGTCTTGGGTAGATTATCTCCCATCCCAGAACCTGTGTTTTCCATCTCACAGCTTTATAAATGATTAGGTAATATCATTTATGTACCAACATTCTGTTCTCTATCTGTATGATTTGACCTACACACATACCTCACATAAGTGGAATCACAGTATTCACCTTTTTGTGACTAATCTATTTCACTTAGTATCCTATGTCCTCAAGGTGCATTCATGTAAGTCAGAATTTCCTTTTTAACACTGAATCATATTCCATTGTGTGTGTGTATATATATATGAACATACACACATGTGCATATATATATGTACTAAAAGCATAATATGCTAATGAGGATAGTGGGACCTCCTTTTGGACAAAGCCGCGGCAGCTGTGAGGGTGAGGGTGAGGGCAGGCTGCGGCAGCAGGTGACAGAGGCGGCGCCTTCCCTGATCAGCCCGGTTGCCTCCCTCAGAGGGAGGTCAGACTGTGGCTTGGGAATTAAGGTGTCAGTAGGAAACCCCGAGGGCTCCTGGACTGTGAAAGGGAACAGGCGGGCCTCTAGTGTGTGTGTGTGTGTGTGTGTGTGTGTGTGTGTGTGTGTATCCTTATATATCCTATATAATAAAAGGCCAGCAACATAATGGCTTGACGACCAGAATGACCGATCAACCATTTGCTCTAAGATGCATTAACCACCTCTCGGTCCTTCCCCCAGCCCGCAGGCTCCAATCCCTGGATGGCCAACAGGGAACCAGGGTGAGTGGCAGCGGGTTGGGACTGGGGACTGACGAGAGGACGGAAGGCAGACCTCTTGGTCCCTCCCCCCTCCCATAGGCTCTGACCTCTGGATGGCACATGGGGAACCACAGGGAACAGGGGTGGGTGGTGGTGGGGCTGGACTGGGGACTGGCAAGCGGGCAGAAGATGGCTCTGATGGCAGGCTGCGCATGATTTCCTACATTGGGCCTCTAGCATATATATATGAGGCCCAGTGTGGGAAATTCGTGCAGGGGTAGGGTCTGATCAGGGCTGAGCTGCCAGCTGCTGGCTGGGCCTTCCCCTGTTCTACACAGCCCCATAGTCAAACACCCAGTGGATAGAGCTCTAGAAGATATAATTTTCATATTAGCCTTTTATTATAAGGACTAGAGGCCTGGAGCACAAAATTCATACTGGAAGAGGGGGTGTCCCTCAGCCCAGCCTATAACCTCTCCAATCTGGGACCCCTCGGGGGATGTCCGACTGCCCATTTAGGCCCCTTTCCAGCAGGACATCCCTCTCACAATCCAGGACTGCTGGCTCCCAACTGCTCGCTTGCCTGCCTTCTTGATTGCCCCTAACCACTTCTGCCTGCCAGCCTGATCTCTCCCTAACCACTCCCCTGCCAGCCTGATTGATGCCTAACTGCCCTCCCATGCAGGCCTAGTCACCCCTAACTGCCCTCCCTTGCCAGCCTGGTCACCCCTAACTGCCCTCCTCTGTTGGCCTGGTTTCCCCCCAACTGCCTTCCCCAGCAGGCCAGGTCCCCCACAACTGCCTTTCCAGCAGGCCAGGTCCCTCCCAACTGCCCTCCCCTGCTGGCCATCTTATGACAGCCATCTTTGACCACCTTGGGGCAGCCATCTTGTGTGTTGGAGTGATGGTCAATTTGCATAATATCTTTTATTAAATAGGACAGAGGCCTGGTGCACGGGTGGGGGCCAGCTGGTTTGCCCTGAAGGGTGTCCCAGATCAGGGTGGGGGTACCCTTGGGGCATGGGGTGGCCTGGGCGAGGGGCTTGTGGTGGTTTGCAGGCCGGTGATGCCCCCGGCAACCCAAGCGGAGGCGTTGGTATCTGGGATTTATTTATTTTCTATAATTGAAATTTTGGAGCCTTGAGCAGAGGACAGGGCAGGCCAGGAAGTTTGACTTCCTCAATCGCCAGGGAAACCCAAGCCTCCTGTTTGCTCCATGACCGCAGTCATTTTTGTTGGGCTTTATTTATATTTTATAATTGAAACTTTTGTAGCCTTGAGCGGAGGCCAGGGCCAGCCACAGCGGGCGGGAAGCTTGGCTTCCTCCATTGCTGGAGAAACCCAAGCCTCCTGCTCGCTCTGTGGCCACAGCTATCTTGGTTGGGTTAATTTACATACTCCCTCCTGATTGGCTGGTGGGCGTGGCTTGTGGGCATAGCAGAGGTAGGGTCAATTTGCATGTTTCTCTTTTATTAGTGTAGACTAGAGGCCCATTGCATGGTATTCGTGCAAGAACAGGCCCCTGGTTTCACTCCCAGGCTCCAGGGAGCCAGCAAGTCCCCGCTCCCCACTCCAGCTACCCGGGAGCTGGGACATCCCCGCTCTCCGGCTGCCTGGGAGCCGACGTGTCCTCACTTCTGTCTGGAGCACCACTCCAGTAGCTTCCTCTGCCGCTCCCTTTCCCTCATAGCAGGCTTCACACCACTCCCCACTCCATGCCTCAATATGCAAATTAACCTCCATTTTTGGGTTAATTTGCATACTTACTCTGATTGGGTGTGGGTGTGGCAGAGTGATGGTTAATTTGCATGTTTTTCTTTCATTAGTGTAGATACCACTATTCATTCATCTGAAGATAGACTCTTCAGTCCATTCCAGTTTTTGGCTATCATTAATAATGCTGCTATGAACATGGGTGTTCAAATATCTCAAGACCTTGCTTTGAATTCTCACGGTAATTGATGATCACAATTATCAAGTGTGAAAGAATTTCAATCTAAAATGGAACCAGAGAATACAAAATGGAAACTTTCACACATGCACCCTCAGGAAAACAAAACTTAAGAATTAGAAAAGTATCTCCCATATCTGATTTAGAGACTGAAACTTATTTCCTACCAATAAACATTCCTCAAGAATCTTGCCCAGCTGGCATGGCTCAGTGGTGGAACCTGTGAACCAGGAAATCCCAGACAGGCTTGATCCCATATGGGATGTTCCAGAGGCAGCCGATCAACGATTCCCTCTCATTATTGATGATTCTCTCCCTCCCTCTCCTTTCCTCTCTGAAATCAATTATATATTATATATTTTTAAAAAGACACTACTTCCTCAAGCCAAAGAATTACTGCTTGGCCTCTGGCTGGGCTTGCCCATAAATACAACTCACCCCAAACTTACAACGGACTGGCCTGTAGCTTGTGGCAGTTTACAGAATTTCCAGTCGTGCCTGTCTAAACTTCTTAAAAGTTTATTAAGGTCATTGAAGGTTAGCATGCAGTTTTAGAAACACATCGATCCCGTGTGTTTCAATTTCCCCAACTGTGACCTCTTGTAAAACTACGCAGCACGGCGCACCCAGGATCCTGGCGTCCATGAGGTCAAAACACACAGCTGGCAACTCACAAATCGCTCAACAGGTCAATAAGATCTTCAAATTTATATTAAAAAGTAAGACACCAAAAGGCCCGTCCCCAGAGGCGCTCCCTATCACCACCAGCGCCCCCCCACCCACTACCCCCCACACACTCACACACACACACACTCACACACACACCACACCCCCCCACACACACCACACACACACACCACACACACACACACAGACACACACACTCACACACACACACCACACACCACACACCCCCCCACACACACCACACACACACACCACACACACACACACAGACACACACACTCACACACACACACCACACATACACACACACACACCACACCCCCCCACACACCACACCCCCCCACACACACCACACACCACACACACACCCTCCCCTATCCCCCCTCCCCCCCCCCCCCCCCCCCGCAACTGGGTGTGCCAGGCGGCGGGTCGCAGGGCGCCTGCGCGGGTGACTGGGGGGGGGGGGAGGGAGCGGAGACGCAGCGGACCGGCCCCGCCCCTCCGCGCAGCCGCAGCGCCGCCCCGCCGCCCCCGGCCGGCGGCAGTGGGAGGGAGCGCCGCTTCCGGCAGGCAGCCTCCGAGGACGCGCACGGCGCGCCCGGCCCGGCATGGCGGGCGTCCACCGCGAGCTGCAGGAGTACCTGGCGCAGGGGAAGGCCGGCGGGGCGGCCGCGGAGCCGCTGCTCGCCGCGGGGGCGGCGGCGGAGCCCGCGGCGGGGGCGTGGCTGGGCCGCGCGGGCCTGCGCTGGGCGTGGGCGCCGAGCCCCGCGGAGCCGCAGCCGGAGCCGGAGCCGGGCTCGGCGGGCCTGCCGCCCGTGACGCGCGCGCAGCGGCTGGCGGCGGCCGGCGCGTGCCTGCTGCTGGCCGCGCTCTGCTTCGGCCTGGCGGCGCTGCACGCGCCCGTGCTACTGCTGCGCGCCCGCAAGTTCGCGCTGCTCTGGTCGCTGGGCTCGGCGCTGGCGCTGGCGGGGGCCGCCATCCTGCGGGGCGGCGCGGCGTGCGGGCGCCTGCTGCGCGGCGAGGAGCGGCCCTCGCGGCCCGCGCTGCTGTACGCGGCGGCGCTGGGCGGCACGCTGTACGCCGCGCTGCGCCTGCGCAGCACGTGGCTCACGGCGCTGGGCGCCTGCGCGCAGGTGGCGGCGCTGCTGGCCGCGCTGCTGGCGCTGCTCCCACGCGGCGCAGGCCCCGCGCTCCGCCTGCTGCTCGGGCGGTGGGGCCCGGGCGCCCGCCTCGCCCAGGCGCTGCCGGTGTAGGAGCCGGCGCCGCCGGCGGAGTGGCCGCCACGCGGGAGCTGGAGCGGCTGCGACGCCCCGGGGGCGCGGTGACGCCTTGGCGGAGCTGCCCTCCGGCCCCGCAGGAAACGCCTCCTCTTGGCTCCTGAGCTGTTCCTCACCCTCCACTGTGAGCGCACCCGTAAAGGGACCGGTTTAAACACTGACTGAGCCACCGGGCGGCTTTAAGTACTTACGAGGGTTCACTTCGTTTGTTTTGTATTGAAATTATGAATGCGCTTTATGAGGTTTGAGGAAAGCAGTGGACCTAAACATCTGCACTCATGCCCGGCCGGTGTGCTGTCTTTGAGAGCCAAGAGACCACGGTTTGTGCGGTAAAAACTTGTTTTAAAACTTGATTTCGGAGAGGGAGAGCGTATCCATGACGAGAGGATCGCCGACCCGCCGCCCGCCCGCTCGGGGTGAGCGCCCCGAGCCGGCCGCGCCCGGACCGTAAACGGGAAACCCGTGCCGGCGCCCAGCAAGCCCGGCCCGCGGCGCGGCCGTCCGGACGTCCGGACGGAACTGAGCGGAGGGCCTCCTGGGGAGGAGTTCTACAACCAGAGCGCCCGGATTTGATGGAAACCACAGTCAAGTGTCATCTTTATCTGCTTTTGAAGCGATTGAATTGGGCAATCCCAATGCAACGTAGGATTCTTTTCACATCTGAGTTTTCCTTTTAGGTCCAGCATGTTTTCTGTGACTTGACTGCACACCTAATTCATTGCCAGAAGGCATGGGCTAAATATTCGGATGAGTCCATAAAACTGCATGGGCAGTCGCTGTGTATCAACCAGAATGGGAAATGTATTAGAATGTCAGAAGGATTTCGGCGGTTCTCAGCTGACATCAGCTCCTGGAAGAGCCAAACTGCAGATCACTTCGCTCAGCCCCCGGGCGGCGGGGCGTGGCTGCTCTAGCGCCTCGGATTCCCACGCTCCAGGCGGTTCCCGCTCCTCTTCCCACCCAACCTCCACCCTGAGGTCCGAGCGCTCCTGCCTCCAGCGTGACGCTAGTGACGCATCCACAGGCGCCTACAGGCCACTCCCAGCTCCCCCTCCCGACAGCCTCCTGTTAAGATGACGCCTGGTTCCTGGACCAGTAAACAGGCTTACCTACCTCAAGTGTAAAAGCAAATGCAGTTTTTAGGGAGAGATTTTTTTTTTTTTTAACTGGAAAATCTTGTGCTCCTGGCTGCTTTTACTACCTGCGAGTTAAAATCTCTAATTCTAAATTTCTCTAGAATCTTAACAACTGAAGATTTTACCATAGTTAGCACATTTTTATGATGTTGTTTGTAAATATTGCTTTCCCAACATTTTCTCAAGAATTCAACACTGAAAATCTATCTACCTTTTATAAAATTGAAAGCACAACGTATTTTAATAGTGATGCTTTAAAATGTGTGTGTGTGTGTGTGTGTGTGTATTATATCCTAACTATTTCATAAATATATGATGTAGAGATCTCACTTTTTTCTAATTCATACTCAAAATTTGATCTGACCTGGCTGGTGTGACTCAATGGTTGGCCCCAACTCATGAAGCAGCTCAAGGTTTGCTTCTGGTCAGAGCACATGCCCTGGTTGCAGGTGGCAGGTGTGCAAGAGGCAGAAGATCAATGATTCTCAACATTGATGTTTCTACCCCTCTCTCCTCTTCCTCTCTCTGAACTCAATAAAAACTTTTCTTAAATGTGATCTCCAATTCTGCTTACTGAGGTACTGTGTTTAAAAGTTAAAAAGCCTAAAATGTTAAGGTTTCTTACCATATTCCCAGAAAAAAAAACAATCCCTTTTCTGCTTCTCAGAATTGATATAGACCAGTAGAGGGCAAAACAAAGAAGAGCCACAAACCTAAAGCAGTCTTGAGCTACCCAGTCATGTCTGCCTGCGGTGCTGATAAAGAACAGAAAATTATCCGCTTTACCTTAGCGATCCTGACACCCTGGATGGGTGCCTGCCATTTCCTCCCTGCAGAAGTTATAGCTTTCACTCTTTTGCATGTGGTGGTGCTGCTTAGAAACTTTTCTCCAATGTCCAACTCCAATAAAAACTTTTCCTCTTATAAAAACAAAGTAAGGGCCACTATAGGAAGTACTGTGGAGCCCTTTTAAAACTGAACTTCTGACATCCATTCCAAATGGGGCCAAATGTAACATTTAAAACTAAAGAGATTTGTTGTAGACCATAACTTCTGGCTTTAAGTTAGGACTATCCTCAGCCTTATAAATGCTGGTATGGAAGAGAAAGCAATTGAAGTTTTACAAAGTTGTTTTAGACATTTTGGTCCATTCTTTTCAACTTAAACAATTTGTGAAATGATTTACAGTCATCAAAAGGTTACATGTAGTTCATTTCTGATTTACAGCAGTTCCTCTGGTTGGAAACAAGGCAGTTTGAGTCTAAGGTGATTATTAGGAGATGCACCCAAGGGAGAACCCCTGCTTGGATGAGAGTATTTTCTCTTCCTCCTGTAATTTTCCATCTGCCAGATGTGTTTAACCAAGGCTTTGAATCCACTTCAACCTATGTTATAGTTGTAAGGTATTGCTCTATTACAAAAATAAGTATAACAATGGCTGGATGAGAATTTAAAACCAGGTTCACAGGTGAAGCTGACTTAGCCTAACAGCGCTCCATCAGGAGTGCTGCAGGGATAAGCACTAACTGCGCCCTCCACAGGCTGGATGCGTGGAAGCAGGGTTTCCTTAAGGCAAGCACATCACAGCCAGCTCTTTGTGTTAATTCTTGCATAAATCATATTCTGTATTCATACAAAAACAATGTTTTTTCTCTGACAAACTGTACATATAGAAACAAATTTCCAATTGAACATAAACTTAATTTTGAGGAGGTGCTCCTTGTCTCGTGACACTTAAAAAAAATTCCAGCGTTTATCTCACAAAACAATCAGGAGCCGGGCAGCGGGGGGACAGGACGGGACAAGGCCGCTGCCGGGCCAGCAGAGTCCGCCCTGAAGGCCTCGGCTCCGGAGCTTGGCTGCCCCAGGAGAGTTCGGGGCGACGAGGTGCAGGCTTCCTGCTTCTCCCGGTGAGTCCACGAGAAGTTGTTAAATACTGTCCAGAGGCGGGGGCGCTCGCCCAACTTCTACCGGCCCCTCCCACCACCCCGTGACGCTCCTCGCCGTGGCGGACCAGAGTTCATGGAGCTCCCTCTACTCCAGTTGCTGCTGCTCCGGACCCCTCTGGAAGGAGGGCCGCTGCCGGGAGGGCCCCCGAAAGGCTCATCTCTGTGGTAGCTGTCATGGTGGTCTCCATCCAAGGAGCTGGAGCGCCCAGACTTCGGCACTCTTTGGGAAGGTCCTGGGCCCCCTCGGCCTAAAATGAAACATTTGACATGTGACGTGTTAGCATCAGAGACTACTACTAACTCCTGGTACAAACTTGTACTCTGTGGTGACAGCACAGTGCTTCTGGGTCTTTCAAACGGCTCTAAGGACACGAGCACTCGGTGCACTAAGGGTTGTGCCTCCACCCTCTTCTTGACCACTGGCACTCCCAGCCAGGCCCTTCACATCGCTAGACCCATGTTCTGCAGGCTGTGACAGACAGCAGGCGGCCAGGACACAGCACCTTCTGGGGGTCATGGGCGCGCTAGGCCCTTCACCTCCTGTGCCACAGCCCTGATCTAACGGGAAGCACCTGCGGCGAGGGGGCTGCAGATGCTGGCCTAGAACGAGCATTCGCTAGGTTAGCCCACAGCTAGGTGGCACTGCTGATTTCCTTTTACGTAGTGAAATAAAATATTTCTTGAAAAACAAAAGCGTAGAAAGAAAAATGCTAGTTTTTAGAATGGTTTCTCCCAGGGGTAGTCCTAGACTTGGACACACAAACTTAGGTATCACTAAAATTCTGATTTCAATTTTTTTTTTCTCACGTGATACCTCTCCCGTAATGCATTATCAGAAGATTATTGACAACTCATTTTGCCTTAACTTTTTTAATGGAACTGAGTCCGGACAAGAAAAAGAGGTTAGGAAAGTTAGCCAAGGAGTAATTTTAGCTTCTTTTCTTACAAAGTGCAGCCCAACCCCAGAGGCGCCGGGCAAAGAGCTGTCCGCTGGGATGTAATTTTTACACTAGCCACCGGCCTCGACCAAGGGCCCAAACAGCATGCTGAGTGCCCCGCAGACCAGCAGCAAAGTGGGCGCTGAGATGGGAGATCTGGTGGCTGAGGGGTGTGCTTGGAGAAGGGCCACACAATTGCCAAGAACAAAAGCCAGAACTCTGTCAGGGAGACGGGCCACCTGGGGTATGGAGCACCAATAGTGCACATGGCAGTCTTTCCAGCAGCCTCCACACCACACCCCGCACCACAGCCCTGTCTAACCTGGGACAGAGCTGTCGTCAGCATTGGGTGGCTCCTGCCCTCGCTAAATGTTAGTGCTGCATCAAAAACAAAGATCCAGCCCAACTGAGTGGCTTAGTGGTTGAGCGTTGACCTATGAACCAGGAGGTCATGGTTTGATTCCCAGTCAGTTCACATAATTGATATTTCTCTCTCCCTCTCCCTTCCTCTCTGAAATTAATAAAAACATTTAAAAATAATAATAAAGATCCAAAAGTTGTAGAAATAATCTTAATGCCCCCACTTGAAAACAGCCCTTCCAGACCATTTTCTGTCTTTGTGGCTGTGGGCTGAAACGCTGGCGCCTGGGAGAGGACCACCCCATCCCCACGCACTGCGGAGAGCGCTCCAGGGCTCCAAGCAGGCATCCGTGCAGAAAGCACCCAAACAGCGACAGTGCTGGGCACCCCGACAAAGAGCTGAACTTGAATAAAGCAGAGATTTTTTTTTTTTTTTTTTTTTAAGAATTTTGAGAGAGAAGGGAGAGGGAGAAAAAGAAACATCAATGGGAGAGCAAAACGTCAATCAGCTGCCTACTGCACACTCCTCAGGCCTGTGCCCTGACGGAATGGAACCATGACCACCTGGCGCACAGGGCGATGCCCAACCACTG